CAGGACTTGCCCTGTGCCCCGGGCACCCCAAACCCTGGTGCTGACTGCAGCTGAGCTGCTGCTCCTCCCTCCCCACCCCACTCCCACCACCACTTCAGCCTGCTCTGGGAGCTCACAAATCTAGCTTGGCAAGGCATCATTGCAGGCTTGAGGACCTGGAAAGATGGAAAAAACTCTTGGAGATACCTCTAGAGATTGGGCTGCAGCAGGAGGAGCCCTCCCAAAGGAGGAGCCTTTGCCCAAATTTGCAGGGGAGAGGAAACACGCAGTGGTCAGTGTGGTTTGGAGCTGGTTATCTGCTGCAAAGCCATAGGCAAGAAATTAATTACAATGATCCTACAACTGCTGTGCTTGGCCCTCCCCACACCACTCCTCTGTGACTGTGCCCATCCCAGGAGCTCAGGTAGGAAAACACAAGCTTCCCCCCCACCCAAATCCTGAGTGTGAGTACCTTTGGGGTGGTGGAAGACAGGGAGGAAAGCAAATGGCAGAGGCAGGTCAGCCCCATGGGTTACACGTGAGCTCCCCTCCCAAAAAAGCTAAATCAAGCCCCTGGCTTTGAATAACCCCAAATTTGGGGAAGGTTAAAATCTACCTCTGAAGTGTCTGGCTGCAACCCAACACAAACTTTATTGTTGTTTCTGGATTATGTAGTTGAACAGAAAACAAAATCCTATCATTAAGTAACACCAGTAAGATATACACTTGTGTCTTGTATTTAGTCTGTCCTATGTGCTCTGCTAAGGCTCCAATTGAGATGGACTTGAAAAATCAAAAAGGCACAGAATTACACAGCTCCCAAAAGTTTTCCTGAAAATAAATTCTTGCCATGTTCTGCCCCAGCAGTTAATTAAGACTTCTATTAAATGCTGACAGGAGCTTGATAATGTAATATGTTGCAGCAGGCTCTGTTCGTGGTGTTATAATTATTGCAGTAAAACAGTTTCCATTATAGCCCTTCTTTTCATAAGCTCATAACTTTTGAAAACATTCACTTTTCAGGTTGAAATTTTTGCATGCCTGGCCCTTACCCACTGGGGATTTTTTTTTTTTTTTTTTTTAAACTCCAAGGAAAAAACAAAAATCCATGTAGTCTTTTTTGAATCATGGGGGAGAAAATATGAGCTTTTTTCAGCTGGAATATAGGTGAGGGGGGGAAAAGGTAATGACATAATTTTTCTAAATAGATGGATAATAAAAGCATGTGATACCTGATGCTGGCTTTGGAAATGGATAGGCTGGGCTTTGCAGAGTGCCTGGGGCATGTCCCATCCAAAACAAAAAAAAAATCCTACCTCTGACTTAAAAGCCTTGATGAAGGCAATGACAGAGCCTCGAGAGAATCCAGTTGTCACCCATGAGAAGTGACTCTTGCTTGCAGGTTAAAAATAGAGGTTGATAATTAATAACTCTTCCCTTCTGGCAGCATTTTTGAGGCACTGACAGTATTTCTCATCTCTCCTGGGGATGAGGAGTCAGTTCTGAAAAATTTTGTGAACTAGAAAACCAAAGGGTAAGATCTTTAAGGTCAATGAAAATATTTTTCTTTGATAATTTCCTGTTTTGATAGGGTTTTTTTTTTCCCTAGAAACAGCTTAATTCTGAAGAGAGAAGACCTTTTAAACTAAAACCCTGGGATGTCACTGAAGGAAATGTAAAAGCCAAACATTTGGACAATTTGGAAACAGATTTGAGGGGTTTTTTTCCAAGTTGAAATAACTGTCTGAACTACCCTCACCTGCAAAAAGTTAAATGGGTATTTTCCCACCAGCCCCTTCCCCTTCCCAAGGCCATTGCACAGGGCCAGCTGGCCTGTGTTAGGTGGTGGATAGATGTAGAGATGGGGGGGCAAATGAGGTGGAGCCTCATTGGCAGGAGCAGCCTGAACCACTGTGAGACTTCACTGGACTTGTGATTTCAACTGTCCCAGGGCACAAGCCCTGTTTGGCTCTGGGATTTCATCCTTCTTCCCAGCCACCACCATCATGGTCCCTCGGGAGGTGCTTCAAAGGCACGTAGGTCCTGTGGGACACTGAAGATACAGATGAGCTTCTATTATGGCCTTCAGAAGCAGCTGGGATGATTAACAGCCTGCCTCCTGATGGGGCCTTTAACCACATGGAAAGTGGGATTTCAGCTCTCAAGTTGTTTCTGTGCTTTTGAAATAGGTTTGTTGTCTTTGTTGGGGCTGGTTCTTCTCGGTTGCTGGCCGTGGTCAGGAAAGGACATGGGAGTGGAGTCAGGCAGGAGCAGGGCTAGAGGGCGGTGCCTTTCCATCATCATGGCCCTTGGTGGCACTGAGTTGTTTTCAGGCAGAACTAAGAGAAAAGGTGTCCTGGAGAAGGATGTAGAGGATGAATGGAGGCACAGACCTGCCCCTGAGAGGTGGTAAATACACTTTGGCAACGTGAATAACTGATAAATCAGAAGTAGGCTGGCTACTCTCAAGCCCCTTGTCCTCAGCAGCACTAAACTCAGTACTTATGGTTTTTTCCTCCTCTCTGAAGCAGGGCACTGACTGCTCAGTTTGGTCACATGTTTGTGTGGCTGCACCTTCCCCAGCCAGGGCTGCAGTTTCCAAAGCCCAGCTGGGTTTTCTGCATCTCCTCTCCCAACCCGCTGCAGAAGAGACGAGTGGGTAGGACTGTGTGCGTGGCATAGGGGTGGGTCTGCAGGCTGTGCTGCCCCAGTGAGAGGGACCAATGCCCTTCCCACAGTGCTGTGCACAGCCCCTGGCTGGCCTGGCTGCTTTCTTTGGCATGCCAGGAGCTCTGCTTTGGCTCTGGCAAAAGCTGTCTTGCCCCTGATGTAATCGAAATGCAGCTATCACTGGGGGAAGCTTATCTGCAAACGTGCCCAGCCCTGGAGCCAGCACCCCCAGCACAAGCCCACTGCCCCAGGGCTGTATGGCTGGTGTTAAGTCAGCTCACAGTGATGGTGTGTAGGCATGCTGCCAAGGCTTGGAAAGGAGATTAGGGCTGGAAAAATCTGCCTTGACTGTCAGACCCAAGGGTCTTTGCTGACCTGGAGCCTTTGTGTTTAGATTTTGTTCCCTGGAGCGTTCCCAGAGGGCTTCCCTGTCGAGGTAGGGGTAGCAAGAGGGATGTGTGACCCAAGTCCTGCCCAAATACCCTCTCTGGTTTGGCTCCAGTGACTCCAAGGAGCCCCAAAGATAGAGGCACTGGAAAGCTTGCTCTAGGGAGCAGACCCAATTTGTATCCTTAATTGGAGCCAAGGGGGAATGTAGGCTTTTGGGTAGGATCGAGGCCAAATGTACATACCAGAAACAAGAGAAAAATTCTCCATTGATTAAAAAAAAACAAAAAACAAAAACAAAAAACACAAAACCACAAAACTTTAAATGCTCAAAACTTGCTCATGGTATTGAGTTGGACAAAAATGGGATGAGCAAAGAGGGATCAGAAGGTAGGAAATTACACCAGCACTGCACATGTTGAGAAAGAGGTTTAGTCCACAGAGTGAGTTGTTCAAAAGGTTTGTGAGCACCTTTGGTAAAAAATACTGCAGTCATGGTATGGTGGAAAGGAGCTGCAAAAGGAAGAATGTCAGAGATGTTACATGAGGTTCAATCAAAAGTCTCTGGTGGCCATCCAGAGGCAGCAGTGACTCCCTGGGGGTGGAGCACATGGCATGGAGCGTGGATGCTGTAATCTTTAGAGCCAAGAGTTGCACCTGGCCTGGAGTTTCCAGACAGTTCCCAACAGACCAGCCTTTTTTAAGTGTGAATCCGTTCTTCCTCAATCCCTCCACACCATCCTCTGGTGTCAGATCCAGCAGGACCCTGTAGCAGGCAGTCTCTGGCTTTTGTGTCACTGGCAGTGGCATGGTGCTAATTTTCAACTCATCCCAAATTTCCAACAGGAGGGGAAGAAACTTCAGCCAATGCTGCTCTAAGTGGGTCCATGCACCAATCTCACTGCAATTTTAGGGGGTTTGTCACTGGGTGTTTCCCCTCATGGTATCAGGCTGCTTACAAGGAACTTGCTGGTTTTGTCTTATGTGCTGGTGCTGCACCTCGTGGTTGGGCTCAGACTTCCCTGCTCTCCCACTAACCTGCTCCCTCCACCCCAATTGTTTTTCCAGACTGCATCAATAATAGAATGTACAGAGGCAGCAGGGCACGGATCTATGTCTGAGCCCTGCTCACATTCAGTACCCCGGGAGGGAAGAGAAGAAGTGGGGGGAAGGCTTTTATCCTCTCTTAAAAAGCAGGAACATGGGATGTGCATTAGGCTTTCTTCTTCGGAGAGTATTCCTGCCTTTCTCCTCTCGCAGCTGTCCCTGGACGCGCGCACCCTGCGCCCCTCCCCGCGCATTCCTGCACAAACCCCTTTTGTTCGCTGCCCTCAGCCAATATCCAGGCAGCAACAGCAGCCCAGATGTTCCCTATCAAACTCCGAGCCATGCCAACAAACTTTGGCACACATGAAAGTGCGCTGAGGAATGGGCCTCCGCAAATACCATTTCTTTTTTCTTCCCCCCACCCCTCCGTTCCTGTAAGTATTTTTAAATGTTAATGGCTTCCACGCCGGGGCAGCCGGCGGGGGGGCTGCCAAGCCGGGCTCGGGGGCGTCTGGCAAATTAGTGGTTCAGGTATCCCCGGCGCCTCGGCGGGGCTGTGCTGACCCCGAGCCCTCGCTGTGTTTTCCCCAGAGGCTTTCCAAGGACGGGGCCGAGCCGGTGCTGTGTTCCCGTGGGCTGTGCTGTTTGGAGGCGGTGACCCGCAGCCCAGCCCGCAGTGGGGAATGCAGGCAGTGCCTGGGGGGGATTTGCTCTGAGTCTGTTTTCTCCTCGTATTGTCAGGGCTGGTTTGTGACGGCCTAGAAAAGCGTAGTTCAAGATGCTGCGGGAGCTGAGTGGCCCCTTTAGGCTTGGCTTTGCCACAATTCCAGTGCTTGGTGGGTGTGGAAGTGAGCTGGGTTTTTGGTTGGTGTGGGATGTAGTTTTTCCTCATCTCTTTCTCAACATCTTCCCTGCAGGCAATTCCTGCTGCTGTCATTCAGCTGTGAGCCCTGAGTCATGGCGCAGATGGGGCCACTGTGCTGACCAGAAGCACTGTGGGCACCACGAGCTGGCAGAGATGACCAGGAGGAGCAGGAGCTGAAGAACAACGTGGACAGGACTCAACTCTATAAACCAGAACCGAGCTGGCTTTGGCCATGGGCGGATGGGTGAGTGCACAAGGGAAAATTTTCCTCTGCCCACGTGAGTAGAAAATCTACTTCTGCTGAGTAAAACACAATCCTGAGTCTCTGCACGGATATGCTTCAATGGAAGCACCCTGATGTGTAGATGTGGTTAAAACCTGCTGCAGGTAGGAGCTGCCACCCCTTTATGCTCCCATGCAGGCTCAGCTCTGCCCTTTGCTATAGATGTTTCTCTTGCCACCTCAAACAGCAGAGCCATGTCCCACCCCTCCATCTCCACCACTGAATCCCATGGGATCAGTGCCAGATTTGGTGCCAACCACCGTAACTGTGGAGAGACAGCCTTGGAGAGGAGGCAGCTGAACAAAGCAAAGGTCATTTCTGGCAGAAGATCCGTTCTTACCTAATTTAAACATTTGTTTCAGCACCAAGGCTCTTCAAAGACTACCTGAACTCCTTTTTACCCATGCACTATAATGGCAGCAATGTATTTTTTCACTCCTCTCTCACACTGAGAATTGAAGCATTTTTGCCCAAAGTTAAGAATTCCAATCTGGATGAAGACCAGGGCTAGCAAAGTTTCCAGGGAGGATGGTGAACCTCTCTCCCTGGCAGTGGGCTTATCTGAGATCATCTCCTCATACTCCCCTTCAGGGAGGGTTTTGCACAAGAAGAGATGGCACAAGCCATTGTCTGCCTCCTCCTCAGCCAAATTCACTACAAGGGCCCAGGAGAGGGAGAACAGCTCAGTTCCAGCCTGGAGCTGAATGGAGAGGAAGCAATGATTTCGGAGAGGTTCAGAGGAACAATCAGATGTGCACTCGATAGCCAGGACTGCAGGAGGGAGAGGAAAGGGGATTGCACAATCCAAGCACTGGAGGCAGCTCTGGCTCCAAGGACATGCCCTGATGGGCAGCAGTGAGCTCCTGTGAAGGGCCTGATTGGGTGAACTGGGTGAACTGGAGTGGTTGAGGGCAGGAGACACTTCCAGAGACATCCTCCCCACCCCCAGGTTTGTGTCTCTTGCAGTGGTGACAGAGATCCTCAAAGGACAATGTCAGCTGCACCCTCTGTATCCTTGTCCTAGCCGTGGACCTCAGAAAATAAATGCAACCTTTGAGAAAAGGTTAAGATAAAGAGGTGGTGGAAGAAAAATGGTCTGAGCCGATGAAAACCCCTGCTCTGGAGGGAGGGAGAGAGAGAGAGAACGGGAAAAATACTGTGGTTATTTTTTTTTTACAAAGGATTTGCAGAGACTATTTCTAGAAAGTGGGAGAAAGTGAGCACCAGTCTCTGGTTCCCTTCATTAAGGAGGGAAGGCAGCACCACTGAATTTGCTATTAAAATAGTGGTAATAATCATAATAAAAAACATGGCCCCTAAATTATCCTATTTAAAAATAAAATAAAATATAAAATCAAGAGGTAGTTGCCATTTCACATGTGGTCTGGTTTAAATCCTGGGAGCAACGTGGCCCCTGAGGTCTAACCTGTTGGAGTAGATTCCCGCTGTGTTCAAAGGCAATGGCGAACCCTTGAATTTGCTTTCAAACTTGGGCTGTGGCTGCTAAGATTTTTTTTTTTTAAGCTCTCAGCAAGTCAGGGAAGATCTCTCTTCATGATCAAGCATTCTGTGGGAAAAATATATTGGTAGGCTTGCATGGAGGGAAGGGTTTGGGATGTGAGGCAAGTCTCTCTCCAGATGCTCCCTGGATTGTTTTGTGGCTTACACAAAAAGTCTGCAATCTTTGAGGCTTCATATAAAACCTGGAGGACAAAGGTCTTTCCTGTAAGCACAGACAGAGTCAGATTCCCCAAATGAGGCCAATTTCAGCAGTTGATCTTCATTTAACACTCCCAAGCCGGATGAAAAATTGCAGACTGAATCTGACCATGTGTACTTCGGAGGTTTTCTAGTTGCTGGTGCACAGGTGTTGCTCCAGGGAGGATGCAGACGTACCCTGGCTCAATAATCCTACTTTTCTGAGCTGGACAGTCTGTATTGAATTCAAAGGCAATGCTGGCTTAGTCTCAAAACTCGGGATATCTGTTTGTCCTCCCCAGTTCATCTTCAGTTCCTCTGTTTGTGTGAGCGCATTGCTACACTGAGCACGTGGACAGAGATTGCAGAGCCTTTTCTCCTGCTAGGAGAGGGATCTGGAAACAATTACAAGCTGCTCATGCTTAATCACTCGGGTAAATCTTAAATGCCTGTCTTAATATTTTGCAGGACTGAAGATGGCATCTGAATTTTTGTGGTGTGCAGGTTACACAGCAGAGCACACAGACTTTGACAGTTTTGCTCTGTGCGTGTTTCAGGGGTCCTGAGGACCCCACAGCTTCTCTGAAATTCGGGAACAATTTCAAAGGCAAACTAAAATACAAAGGGGGGAAAAAAAGACCCCAAAGTGTTTGCCTGATATTTGTACAAATTGTCACCTCAGTCACGTTCTTATGAACCTTTGATGAACCTGACCATTTGTACCTCAAACTGAACAAGAAGAGAGTATTAAATGAGTATAAAAAAAAATAAAAATAAAAAATGAAATCCCCTGTGAAAATGAAGGCAACCAAAATAACTCACAAATCTAGGCTGAAGTCACTCAATGACAAGACAAAACAATAGAATTCCTTCTTTCCTTCCTAAATATTGAAATGCTTCACTTCAGCGTTTTCAGGCTGAAGCAGATTACTTTATGGAACATCACTTAGTTTGAAGCTTTCTTTTATGTTTTCATTTTCAATGGACCTAAATTTAAAAGGAAGTGAATTGTGTGTTTTAGCTTGACTTTTAAAAAACATTAAATAGTCTCCAAGCAAACCAGAACATTTTGTTACTGGTCAAGCAAAATGTTTTTGGTTGACCCAAAATGAATTGAGATGTTCTCATTATATTAAGTCTTTCCTCTTCAGCTCAGCTCCAAACCCAGAATTTTCCACCACCAGAAGAAACCAGTCATCCTTGTTTTCACCTTCCTGCTGCAGCAGTAAAGGTCTAATTTTGGTTGCTCCTGTTTTAATCAGAGTTTGCTTTATTAACCTCTTCATTTACTGCAGGCAGAGGTCTGTGATAGCAGTGTTTGTAGGCAGGGTGTGGTACAGATCTATCTCCAACTATCTCAGATACCTCACCAAGGAGCTGCTAAGCCTCCCTGGCCATCAGCCTGCTTATTTACAGGCTTTATAGCTATGTTTCAAACCCTGCCAGTGGCACCAACACTTGGAAATCATCATTAGTGTGTGGTGTTAGTAAGCCAGGGTGTGTCAGCTGGGTGTGCAGTCATGGCAGTATTCAAAAACTAAAGAAAACACTCTCCTCCCACAGAAACCGCTGAAAAACAACTTCTACACAAACATTGTGAAAGGCAGCAACTGGCTGATGGGGAGGACTTTCCAAAGCCACGGAAGGAAGTCACCTACTAAAGCCTCGGTAAGAGCCAAGCACTCTAACTCGGCAATCCTTTGAAAGCCTCCTCCCAGATCCAGCCTCAGCGAGGATCCTGTCACTAAGATCACTGATAAACACGCGGGGGGTTATATCTCTTTTGTGTGCTTGTTACAGGGAGAAAGCATCGACGTTTTGTGAACTTTATTGCCGGAAAGACACAACGTTTCATCTTAAAATTGTCTCAGGCGTTGTGTGTGGGGTGGCCAGGGCTGCAGGTGGAAGCAGCTCATGCCTCGGAGCTCCCTGAGTGTCACCCGAAGCGCAGGCCCTCCAGACATGGGGCACCACAGGTGGTGATGTTCAGGGTGACACTGGAGTGTCAAAGCTGCACCCAAAGTTGGCCATGCTGTCTCAGAGCTCCTGTTTGTGGTGCTGAGAATAACCTGCCTGAACTTGGGCTCCCTTCACTTCTCTGGCAGCTGAGGGGATGGTGAGGTCCTAACCCTGCACATCTGCCTGTTGTAGCTTAAGCGTTTGCAGGATGGGGAGGGGAATTAAGATAATGTGTGTCCTGCAGCTTGCTGGTCTCCAAATGGGCTCCTTGGTTGTTCTTTTTTATATTTCTTTTTTATATTTGCATTACAGACACCTCCAGGGACTCTGAATGAGGAGGAGGTGGCTGTGCTGTGGACAAGACTCCACGGAGAAATATCTGGTATCTTACTACAAGGATACAGGAAAAGGTGAGGGAGGGGATGGCTTGGCTTGCACATAGGTAGGTGTTGTCACACATCCTTCTGTGGCACTGAACACGTGGCCTGACCTGGTGTCCCTTCAGCCACCCGGGCTGAAAACGAGCCAAACCAGCGTGCACGGATTCCATGCTGTGCCTTCCCACAAACAACAGCATTTCTGGGGTGCCCTGTGGGAATGCAGCAGGATGGGAGCAGCATCCCACACCGCTCCCAGCATTTCACTTGCAGAAGGGGGTTGTGTCAGCCCAGTGTGCTGTGTTGCAGTGGTGCAGAGCTGGGAGAGGGGAGAGGACAACATCCCGCAGCACGAGGCTTGTGAAGCTGGAGGGAGAGCCGTGAACTGGCCAACACACGCTGGGCTCGGCTGTCACACTGGTGCTGACTGGCACTTTATGGTAGGAAAGTGATTTTCACATCATGTAATACTCTACTGCAAATACATATTACAAGCCGTTCTGGCTCTTGGGTTTGGCAGCCATCTGTCCCTCTGTCTTGCCATGAAAAGACAAGGATTTCCCACAGAGACTCCTGCAGGGGTGGCAGGAGCTGCACAGCTGATGGCACTGAAAGTGGTGCAGCTGGTGGTGCAGATGTGCGTGCCAAGGGGAGGGTGATGGGGCTGTGACAGCAGCAGGAAGAGGTGGGAATGGCTTGGGAAGTACCACTGCCATGGGAACAAGGCTGGGAGAGGTGTCAGGAGCTGGCCAGTTCTCAGCTGGCAGCAGCACACCCCGAGGGATGTGGGTTGTCTCTAATGGGACAGCATAAATGATGCAGCAGGGCAAGGTCAAAAATGTTGCTCAGCAGCCTGAACTCACGAGGGGCCTGGGGGTCTCCCCATCTCCTCTGGAGCCTGTGTGGGGATCCACACACCCAGAATCTCCAAAACCTGCATCTCGCTGTCCCAGGGCTGCACTGACCTTTCCTCTGCCTTGCCCAGCATACATTTGTTGTTAAAAATACCTGAATGGAGACTCTGTGAGGGTCTTGAGTCAATTCTCTCCACGTTCTGCTGCCCTGGCTCATCTCTAGCCTGAGTCTCACTTTCTCCTTCACCTATCCACCAGGGGCACTGAGAACACATTTCCCCTGTCTCTTTACAGCTGTGTTTTATATATTTAAAGGCTACTATCATGTCTTCTCCCCTACACTTCTTTCCCATCCAGACTAAACAACCTCAGCTCGTTCTCTTGAGCGTGTAACAACAATAAGTTTGTTTGATGAAAACTCAATTTGTTTAGTGCAGTGGTTCTAATCACTCAAACTATGCCAAAGATAACAAACATTAGGCAAATTTCTCTTCAAATCTTTAATTTTATCAATTGTTTTGACAGTTAGATTACGATTTTTACACAAAGGGTTAGAATGAAAGCAATTCCTTTGTAGTTTTTCTGTATAAAGATTTGAATTACGACTTTTACATTAGGCAATGCAATTAAAAGCATTATAGAACTGTCATGAAGTATTTAACTTGGGGTTATAAAAGCATTATTTTAATTATATTTCAAAACTATTTAGAAAGTATCTTTTTAAAGTCATTAGCTACAACAATATTTCTTTAGCTATACCAAAACATGTATCAATAATTACTCATTTCCATTTCTTTTACTGCTCAGTTCTGGTTTTCCCAGCCAAAATGGTAAATTTATAATCTTTAGGATATTTCTGGTAGTAATAATTTTATTATTATTTATTTTACCAGCTTTTTTAAAAATTGCTTTTAATTACCAAGCTTTTAATCCTGTTTAGATTTTTTGTCTTGCAAACAATCTGAGGAGTTACTACAGAATATTTTTGTCTCTGTGGAAAAATGAGGTGAGAAAGACTCCAAAAATGCCAGTAGGAATGTTAATTTTTTTATAATTTTTTTAAAGAAAACATTTATATTGCATGCTGAGCTTTCTGCCAGTTCAGATGTGATTTTCTGAAAGCCGAACTTGTCTTAAGGGAAAAGCTCAGAAGTTGAAACAAGAAAACGTGGGGTGGGGGCCTTAAAAGCTGCGATGTTTGGAGGCTCCGTTTCAAAGCAAACACATCACTGTAATGAGAAGTGTCCTGGACAAACACGCTGCTCTCCCCACCCAGCTCTGCTGGTCCCCAGCCCTGTGTGGTGTGGGGTCCCTGTGGGAACAGCTCACCCCAGTTTGGCTGCTGACAGCCCCGGGTACCCTTGGGAAGGGACAAGCGGTATCTGCAGGTTTGGATGGGGAATTCACAGCCTGCTGGAGTCCGTGGCAAAAATCAGATGATTTCTGCAGCCCTGTTCTGTCCTCCTGTTCCATCCCCCTGGCTGTAGTGGGACTTTGGTGCCACAGGTGCCACGGACAGCCCTGCGACATCTGCCGGGAGCACTGCTAGGACATGTCCCCTCTTTCCCTGGGAACTGAGGAGCAAAATGTGGACCTTTTAAAGTAAAACAGCTGTGGGTTCAAACCACACCCTTAGACCAGGAGTCAGGACCTTACCCTTAAGGTCTCTGTGAAAGGTAACTCGGAGGAAGCAAAGCCACAGACTTAAACTTGCTAAGTCTGCCTCTTCACTAGAAAATGTGCACAGAGCCACAAATCAAAAGATGCTGAAAACCTTTGGTTTCTGATGTAGTTTTTTTCACTCAGTACCTCTTTATGTAAGTGGATTTTTGTTTCCTTCTATGAAGTTCTTACAAACCAAAAGACTGCCTTGCTCCCAGAACTGACTTAATCCCACTTACCAGGCAGCTGAAGGGAACAGAAACTGAGGAGGAGGAATTGTGCTGTATTTTTTTTTAATTCAGTTTTTTCGCCTTACTCCAGAATGAGAATAATTCATTTTACAGCAGAAAGACTGCTTGAATTAGATGTACCTGCATTTTTGCATAACTCCTCAAGCCAGCCCCTTGCAGTAGGCACTGGATAACGCTAGGTTTGCATTCTTGAAGTGTTTCTGGGGTTTGAATCACTGGTACACAATGCCATGGCTCATCTGGACGTGATGGTTCTTCCCAAGCTAGCCTGTATTATGATCTGGTAAAAGATGGGATAAGATACAGTGGATGGATATAGTTTGGATGGATACAATGGATACAAATTTGATAGTACAAGTTAGGAAGAGGACTAAATCGATTTAGGAATTTTTAGCTGTGTTATTTTCACAATGTTTTTGACCCCATGTCTCTTTAATTAGATGTCACAGTCCTTGGAAGCTCATTATAGGGTCTGAAACAGAAGCAGAAAGGAAACTTCCCCATACAAGTCTCACATGAGGGCTCAGTCCTCTCCTGGGAAACTGTTGCCTTGTGTGTTAGTGTGACAGTGTGAAGAGCAGTGCAAGAATCGAGTTAAAAATATATTATCTAAGTCAGGGAGCCCCTTGATGGAGGAGCTTGATTGGCTCTTAAAAACCCCCAAAGTTTTCAGTCTGAAACCGATGCAAATTGAAGTTATGTCCTGGTACAAATTGCATCTGTCCCAGGTTGAAATGTCATCTGAGGTCTGACCCTGAGGTCTGACCTGGGGAGCCCAATTTGCCAGCCTGTGATGACATTTCCACGCTGATTTGGGAATTGCATGAGCAAAGATGTTTCTGTGATCTGCTGGTGCTCCCTGCTTCTGGAATCAGCAGACTCCAGGCCAATTAGACCACAAGAAAACTGATGCAGCAGTCATGAGGGTCTCCAGGTCTGTTAGTGAGGGAGCAGCTCTTGAAGCTTGAAGTTTGTGTTGTTCCTGGGGATATTGGTCCAGGAGAGATAAAAGTTTTCTATTTTCCCCTCTTCTTGCCTTGTCCAGCCTGCATTTTAGCAACATTTGCTTGGAAAACACTTTATTCCTAGGTGGCAAATGTTCAGTGCCATGTTTTGCTCACAGGACTTTAAACAGACAGAGAACACGGTCAGCCTGCGTTTTCTAAACCTGCTGTTGGTAAATGCTCCATGAAATGACTTCACTGGGCTGTAATTGTTCCTGGAGCAAGCTGGCCCAAAGGCCAGCAATTAAACCTTTGGCTGATGGAAGCTGTTAGAATGCATTGCTGCTTTGCCTATAGCATTCTAGTTAACAACTCTGAAGTCTTTATACTTTTCCTATAAAACACGCTCTGGGCCTGGAATAGATATTTACTGGCAGTAAAGTGAACATGGTGCTTCACTTCTGTTCATAGCACTAAAGCTTGGAAGAGAAGAAAGAACTAAAGTTCAAAAAGTACATTTTTGTACTTCATGAAGCACATGCAGTTGGTATCTGTGGGTTTGGTGCGGCCCCTTTCTGTGACTTAGATATCAGAAACAGGTTTAGATTTGTGACTCTTATATGGGCATCTAAAAGGGAATGAGGTGCCCACACCTTGTTGTAAGCCAACACTGTTCCATTGTAAAATTCAAGCTGACACCTGGTTCTGCCATCTGGACTCCCTGGAGTCTGAGAGCGTTTGAGTCAAAGCTGGATCATGGCTCTCATTCAGATCTCTCCTGTGCTCAGTCAGGTTTCCCAGAGGAAACTTCCTGCCTGAAGGGCCACTCAGCATCCCTCTGCCCCAGGCTCATCCAGGAAGGATTTCCTGGGTGAGATAACCATGTTCTCCTCCTCCTCCAGTGGATGCCTGCAAGGCCTCTGCTTGGCATCAAGGCCTCCAGCCGAGCTGCAGGTGAAAAAGGGTGGCACTTGTGTTATCCAAAGGCACTCACTGGGCCAAATCCCATCAGAAACACTTAACGCCTGCCAATTCAGGGCCTCTCCCCCCTGTCAGGGGCTGGTATTTATGGGATGTGTTAGTCATGCAGGAGCTGCTGGAAGTGCTGCCGCGGTAAATTGCAGTGTCATCCATGGCCGTCAAGTTATGGGCTTGCTTGGGGAGCTCCAGAGCTTGACTAATCCCTTACAGATTGGAGTTGGGGAGGGATGTGGTGAGGCACTGGAAATGTCCCTGTTTTGCTGCTGATGATGTATTATTGCAGCCCACAGCCCCTGGGCTGCTGCAGCTAAGCTGGGGGCTCGTGCCTTTATGCTCCCAGTGGGAGGGGAGCTCATCCACAGGGCCTCTGACAGCAGCCACCAGAGTCTGGGATGGAAGGGAAAACTCTTCTTTTCGTGGATACTGAGGGATACTGCTGTTTGTTGTGGGATCTTCTCAGTTTATACCGAAGGATGGGAGCGTGTGTGTGCAACCTGGTGCACAATGGTCAGAGCAGACTTTCAGAAACATCAGCGTGGGCAAAATAATACTCTTCCTTGCTGGCCTTCCAGTACTTAAAGGCAGTTTGTAAGAAAAGAGAGAGAGCAACTTTTTACACGGACAGGTTGTGACAGGGCAAGGAGGAATGGTTTTAAATAGAAAGAGATTTAGATATTAGGAAAAAACTTGTCCTGGTGAGGGTGGGCAGGCCCTGGCACAGGTTGCCCAGAGAAGCTGTGGCTGCCCCATCCCTGGAAGTGTCCAAGGCCAGGTTGGACAGGGCTTGGAGCAACCTGGGATAGTGGAAGGTGTCCCTGCCCATGGCAGGGGGTTGGAATGAGATGAGCTTTAATGTCCCTTCCAACCCAAACCACTCTGTGATTCCCATGATTTCCTCACAGTGTCACTGGAACTTCAACCAGACATACTGGAGCAGGACCTCACCTGCTCTTCTTACATTAATTACAGATTATAAGTGACCGGGGGTGGGGTGGGGTGGTGGAGCGTGTATTGCTCCTTAAAGTTTGCTGTATTCAGGTGCGGCTTCCCCTCTCCATTCAAGCCTCATTAGCCCTGTTCGGTCACAGGTCAGACTCGATCATCTCAGAGTTCTTTTCCAACCTCGTTGATTCTGTGCTTCTTTACGGCACTGTGTTCCCAGGAGCCCCGGGGCCGTGCCCACAGCAGCTTTCCCCGGAGCACGGACCATCCGCGGCGCTCACGGTCCTTCCCTCCCCCTCCCGCCCCTCACGCCGCCACCTCTCCCGCCCGCCCCGCCCCGCGGCGCAGAGCGAGGCCCCGGCCGGGCTGTCCGTGGCGTTCGCCGGCGGCGGAGGGAGCGCCATGGCCGAGGCCTGGGCCGGCTTCTCGCAGGAGGAGCTGCGGCGGCTGCGGGGGCAGCGCCCAGGTACGCACCGGGCAGCGGGGGAGCCCCCCGGCCTCGGCACCGCCGCGGCTGTACCTGCCTTCCCTCGCCCCTCAGCCCCTCCGTCCGCAGCTCCTCCGAGCCCTCAGCTCAGGGCATGCTGTCCCCGCATCAAACGCCTGCGCTGCCCCGGGCAGACCCCCGACCCCTCCCGTCCAGCCCCATCTCTCACCCTTCCCCTCATCCAGCCCCTCTTTCTGTTCCCCCACAACCTCTCGGTCGCGTTTCCAGTCTCTGCAGGCCCTTGCCCTGCTTCCAGATCCCTGCCCACTGCCCCGTTCGTGTTCCCGGCCTCCTCTTTGCCCTCGTGTCACCTTGTTCTTCCCCGTTCTCCACTTTATGTCCTCAATTTGCCCATCAGGCTGCCTGGGACCCTTCCTCAGCCCTAGATCTACCTCCATAATTATCCCAAGAGTTGCCTCACTCCTATCATTCTTCCTTTAGTCCTGCAGTCCAGGCCCCTTATTCCTCCCTCTCCTCATTTAGGGATGCTCATATCCTTTAAAACTCCAGATCCTTATGATAGCAAAACTTTTCCAGCTTCCCGGGTTTTCCCCCACATCGCCGTCCAGTGCCACCCTGGTTGCCTCATCCTTATGTTGATTGTGCAGCAGTTGCTTGTCCAGAAAAATTAATTCACAGATTCTTTGACGCTGAGATTTGTTTCTAATCCCTCTCCACTGATAGAGCTGTACGAGCCCTCGGAGCTACAGCAGCAGCAGCAGCCTCGCCCCCACCCTGGGAACAAGCCTCGGAAGCAGTTGCAGCGGGAAAAAGCCCTCCAGCAGCAATGCCAGAGGCTGGGACTGCAGGGTGGGGCAGCCCCTGTCACTCCGGAGCAGTTGCTCTCTGCACCAAAGCACAAGCCCTGTCACCCTCAGCAGCCAGTGACAACTCCTCATCCTCCTCCTGCTGGAGGTCAAAGGCGAAGTGACAGCCAGGATCAGCAGGAGGAGGTGACACCTTGCAATGGCAGGGCCGGTGCCCAGCCCCGCCCTGCACAGCCCAGCACCCAAGTGGAGACAAAGAAAGTGGAATTGTTAGTAAGTCAGTAAAATCTGGGGTGGGGGATATTGCTCTGCATTGATTCATTCTTTCATTACGAAGTAAAGTGAACTTTTCTGTGTCTAATTGGAAGGTTTGAGAGATCAAATCATTCCCTCTCCTGCAAGGAAAGGCTGAGAGAATTGGGATTGTTCAGCCTGGAAAAGGGAAGGCTTTGGGGTAATTGTGGCCTGAAAGGAGCCCACAAGAAAGGTGGAGAAAGACTATTTACAAGAGCATGTAGTGACAGAACAGGGGGGAGGGGCTTCATACTGACAGAGAATAGGTGTAGATTAGGTCTTAGGAAAAAAATCTTACCTACGAGGACAGTGAAGCACTGGCACGGGTTCCCCAGAGAAGCTGTGGCTGCCCCATCCCTGGAAGTGTTCAAAGCCAGATTGGTCAGGGCTCGGAGCAACGTGGTCTAGAGGAAGATGTCCCTGCTTGTGGCAGGGGGTTGGAATGTGGTCATTGTTAAGGTCCTTTCCAGCACAAACCATTCTGTGATTCTGTGACCATATTGCTCTGCATTGGAGCTTTGGTTTTAATTTCTGGTTGGGTTAAACCTGATTGAGGACCAAATTCTGCAGTGTACTCTGTGCAGAGATGCAGTGCTGTTTTCAGATAATTCCTTGTGGCAGTGACACTGCTCATTATAAAGTGCCTGAGATGTCTTAGTGGTTTATGAAGGCTGGCCTCCAAACTTCCATGCATCATTTGTATTCCCCAGGCAGGGATCAGCAGCTTTCCAGGTGTGGTGAGCCAGGCATCGTTCAACTCCTTTTTGGTGGGGAAAACTGTTTGGGGAGAAAACACCTGGAGCTTTGCAGAGAAGTTTTTCACGCTGTGGTGGCAAATGACATTTTGCTGCAACAGCCACCTCCTGGATCTGCTGGACTCCTCTCAGCCTGGGCACTTGAATCTACATCCTACTGCAAATATTTCTCTGCATGAGGTGTTAGGGATGGGGTGATGAGGAGAAATCTGAAGAGATGTTCTTGTGCAGAAACGGTTGTTAATAGCTGAGTTATTTGGGTATTTTTAAGCCGAGGGTTCTTCAGGGAGTGCATGAAGAACACAATGGAGTGGAAAAGCAGCAAAGCAGTTTTTTGTTTCTCCTAAATCCTGCCAGTTGTGCTGTCCCCCCTCACCTGGATCCCATCCTCTGGGCTGGTTGTATTTCTTAGTAGATGTAGCCTAGGAAAGGGAATCAATATTCTTTCCCTGGTGTAAAAGTGAATTCTTGTTCTTCCTTGTTACGACTTTTATCAGCCTTTCATTTGTATCAGTTTAATTATTTGGGGGCTGGATTGTGAAGCAGGCCTGTGAAAGAATCTGTTTTATGCAAAAAAACATTTCCCCAAAAGAGGCTGTGTTGGCAGACTAAACGGATGGCAACTTGTAGCAGCCAGTAAGAAACTTGAAACTGCTTCTACCTAGTGGGGAAGCACATCCTTTAAATGAAAAATTCCATCCATTTCTGGAAGAGTGCTCCATGCTCTTTCTTCCAGCAAAGCTGGATTAAGCAGTGGCCTATCTGGTTGTGCAGATTTTTGTGATGATCAGCGGATTTCATAGGAAAATGTTTTTATTGCTCTGAACGACTTCTTGCAGGTGATGCTTCTTTCCTTAGAATCGAAACCTCTTTATTGTTCCTTTGACATTTTAAGGGTTTCCTCTAGGAAGTATGATGATGAATATTTATGTTATTTGGAGAACAGGGAGAGAAACGAACTTTCTGTTAATTTTGATCTTCTTTTCCATGAGCAGGCAGGAGAAATCCCGATGGGAAATCCTCCAGCAGGAGCAGCGGCTGATAGAGGAGAAGAATAAGCGCAAGAAGGCTCTGCTGGCCAGAGCTATTGCTGAGAGGTAACAGACTGTGCTGCACGGGCTGAGCACGGGCAAGGGGTTACTTTTCATCTGCAGATCTTGATTTAAATGTCACTTCTTCCTCCTCTCTGTGCTCTGTGTGTGCTGCTCCACAAGTGAGCAGCTGTGAGCGACGTCTCCCTTTGATGACAAGTACTGGCTAAGAAGTTGTGACTAAGCTTTTCACACTTCCAAAGCTGCAGCTCTGTGTGCAGATGGAAAAGTTATTACACAACTTGAGAATTAGCTAAGTCCTTGAATTTGTTAGTGAGATCATGTTTGGAAGTTGGGATGCTTGGGTGCGTATCCCTGTTTTGTTCCTGAGTTGTTTTTGCTGGATTTAGGGAAAGTTCATTTGATTCCTAAATTATGATAAGAAACTGTTTGAGCTTTTGACTCTTATGAGTATGTGAAGAGTATTGAAAAGAGAAGATGATCAACTTTAATTTGAAGAAGATACCATTTTACCACTGGCTGATTAGAAATGATAGAAATTCACGTGTTCTCATTTGTTGGCTCTTGCTCCTCAGGGGACCAGACTTTAAGGCATTGTACAGTGAAATAGTTTAAGACTACACAGAAAGCAAGGTTTGTAGGGAAGGATGCTGGAACAGCTCATAGCACTGGATCAAGGAAAGTGATGTGAAGCTTTCAGGTTTGTCCCAGACATGTTGTGTTCTGCCCATCAGCCCATACTGTGCAGAGGATTCTCTTTAAAGTCCTGAAAATGATGTTTTCCTTTGCCAGGCAAAGAGAAAACACCAGTACATTTGTTGTGAGTCACTGCAGGACAGCAAATATGGGTGTGACCACCAGGCTGGGTTCTTCCTCCTGGAAACAAAGCCTGAGGAGAGAGGGGAGGACGTGGAAAGTGATACCTAGGGAATTACTTCAGACATTCACAGCCCTTCCTCAGGCTTTCAGCAATATCACAGGTGTCCTTCCCCTCCATGTGCATCAGCTGGTCTAATGAGAGATGCCTGTACTAGTCTTGGTGTCAGATACCTACTTGGGGTGTAAAGCAGTGGCTGGAAAGTGTGAATTTGCTGATGGTGATGAAAGTGACTCCACTTGCTTGGGAGTGAAATCCATCAAAGTTTGCTGCCCTTACCAACGTTTAGTTTTCAGGACTAGGGAATGAATAGGCTGAGTTGAAAAAGGTTACATGAGGCTTGATTGAAATCTTTTGTGTTTGATGTAAAACTTTCCATTCGCTTCATGGGGATTTGGCTGGGCCTTTTGGGAATAATTTTGCAAAATGGAAATCAAACTTAGGTTAGGTGACTTTTTGGCCCCTACTAACTGAGCTTCTTTGAAAGAGGATATTTGCAGGGCTAAATGCCCTTCCCCCTCTCACTTCCTCCCCAAGCCATTTCCTGTTTCCTTACACTGGGAACTACTTGGATACAGCAGCTTCTTGTGTGTTTCCACAGTGAAGAAACACAATCCATTTTAGGCACTTTGATTATAGTCATTACGTAATTTTGCCATAGTCCTTTAATAGCAGGCATTTTAGATCCCTGTGGATACTGAAAAAGATCAAAAGCCCTAAACCATAAAGGAGAAACCTTCTGAGCTGATCCTAAAGAAGTTGATTGCTCTGCAGATGAAATGGGGCCTGGTATGTCAAGAAGAGAGGCTTGAAAAGGGGGGTAAAAGTAAGCATCTTCCTTTTGCAGATCCAAAAGAACTCAAGCTGAAACAGTGAAACTCAAAAGGATTCAGAAGGAGCTGCAGGCTCTGGATGACATGGTGTCTGCTGACATTGGCATCCTGAGGAACCGCATCGACCAGGCCAGCCTGGAATACTCCCATGCCCGGTAAGTGACGGACAGGGAGGAGGGAACAGGGAATAGGGAATAGCTCTGCCTGAGAGCAGGGAGAAAATGCTGTTTCCTGTCACCAAAGCAGTAATGAAGTCATGTCATTGTAATAACGTGTAGTTAAAGCAGTCACAGTCTGGGGGGCTTTCAAACCTTGAGGTAAAAGAGTGCTTTTTATTTCCTAATTTTTCCCTTGGAGTCTGGAAACTGAAGCAGGTTTTCTGACTGCGGAGTGTGCTGTCATGAGACGTGAGTAGTGCTTTAACTGTGCAGTTGTCCATAAGCCCTGCTTTATTGTTTCAAGGTTGTTTATTTCTTCTCAGGGGGAAAGAGGTTTTCCTTGAAAAGTCCTAAAATGAAAGTCCTTTTCAGGGAAACTCGCTTGTTGATGACAGCTCTGGTCCTTTTGGAATCAATGGGACTAATTAAGCTTAAAACATGTAATACTGCTGAAGTGCTTTTGGAACTAGGACCAAAAACTGAAGGGAAAAGCAAGCTTTCACCCTTCACAATGTGCCTTTAATCACTCTGGTTCTGATGAGTTCCTTAAATGCAAGAAATTAATTGGAAAACCCCATTAGTTGTGGGTAAGCCACAACATCAGTAGATAAACATCAGCATGTTTGTGCAGCCATTTCATAAAACAGAAATGTTTGGTTGCGGTTTTTGGTTCACAATTCAATGTGTTAAATGTGCATTTCTGCTCTTGACTTTTGCTATACATTGACCACAGGCCGATAAACATGATAATTAGTCTTTAAAAAATAACAGTGGTAGCTAAAAAAAAAAATTAACATTTCTTTAGTGTAATTATAATTCAAAATATCTAAGATTAACTGTAGTTAGAGTGGCTGATTGCATATGAATACAGAAATTCATGTCCTCAAGTGGAAAAACATTTCAGTGTTTCATCTGGTTTCTGAAACCATGACATGTTCCTGAAATTCTCCATACCCAAGTTTTGTAATAATGTGTCTACTTGAAATGCTTACTGGCAAAAGAGCACAGAACACGAAGGGCTCTGACATTTGGAAAGCAGTTTTTGATGACAAGAACAAAAGGAGGTGCTGGTAGGACAAGTGGATAAAATTTACCAAATTCTTAATGACTTTTATGAACTGAGTCTTTTTGTGAGGGAGGGATTTGGAAATGCAAGTTAGATACTTCCAGTGTTGTAGTTTTTATGTATTATGAGCCAAAGCCAATTTAGTTTTAAATGGTGTCTTTTAAAGCAAATTTTTAGTTCTCACCTTGTGTTTTAGGGCTAAAATAAAAATCACTTCGTTGGGTCAAAAAGCACAATTTTTAATAGTTCCTGAGCACATACATAGTTAGGGGCATTTGACAATTGCTATGGAATCGTATTTTCATAAATATGATGTGAATAATTTGTGTAAATTCAGCCCAAAGGTTTAACTGTGCAGATGTTTCCAGCATAGTATTATTAGTTTTTCCATTTCAGGTGTCTGACCCAGAGAAATCTTGACTTTCCTGAGAATGTGAATGGGCATCTTCTGCCCACTGCAGACACAGCCTTTACATCTGAGTCAAAGTTTTGTGATGATTACATAAAATAACATATTTGGGAAGGCTTTTCTATGTCTTGTTTCCTTCTGTTTCACTAAGCAAAGGATCCTGTCTTTCTGTTGCCTTGTTTAGACAGATTCTGGTTTTATAAAAGAGCTGGATTCTTTATTCAACCCCCTTCCTTCCATTAGTTTTGTCAGTGCTCTGTCAGGTGCATCCTGTAGCCTTCTTCAGGAACCTTTTCCTGATGAGCAAGATTGCATCTATCTTTCTGTTAATTAGAATGAATACACTGATTTACTGATGCAGGGGTACAAGCATCACTAATGCAGACACCAGCCATTAAAGTGCTGGATGGTCTCTGTGTGTCAACCTCCCTAAGTATTTAGAATATTTCCTTTTTGCTGTATTTATCATGACAGGAAGTGCACATTGGCAGGAGGTGAGTGTCGGGGGGATGCTCGCAATAAAATTCTACATCTGTCGCCACACGGAAGTTGTGATCACTTTTGATGTCACGTGCTGTGTCAGTCTGGGCTGCTCCTGATTTTCTCAGCATGTCTCTGGGTGGCCAGAAGAGCACACGATCCCAGTGTCCATGTGTATCCACGCTGGGCTCCTTTGAGCATCTGTATCTGTTGGGGGGGTGGTTGGGTTAAAGGAGCCCCGAACTGCTGTGCAGTGTCTCGGTTCGCTGGGTGGGTGTTCCTTACAAGTGTCAAAACACTGCGATTTCTGGTGATTTCTTTCTGCATCCTTTCAAACAGGCAGCAAAAGTGCATGTTTGTGATTCAATGTATAGATTGCAGATGAGCAAGTTAACTCTTGGAGTACACAGCAGCAGAGCCCAAAGTGTCCAGAGAAGTTTTGATCAATTCACACTTATTTTCTTCCCTTTTGCTAACGGAGCAGTGTGTCATGAACAGCTGGCGTAATGCACGTTGCATTTCAGGGGTATTTGAAGTGTCTGTCCGTGTGTCAGACTGTGGAGTGCTTTGAGAATTAACCCACTAGAAATGATGATGATTTTGCAGGAAGCGGTACGAGAAGGCGGAGTCAGAGTACGTGGCGGCCAAGCTGGACCTGCAGCACAAGACAGAGCTGAAGGAGCAGCTCACGGAGCACCTGTGCACCATCATCCAGCAGAACGAGCTCCGCAAGGCCAGGAAGCTGGAGGAGTTAATGCAGCAGCTGGATGTGGAGGCAGATGAGGAAAATCTGGAACTCGAGATTGAGGTGGAGCGGATGCTGCAGCAGCAGGAGGCAGAAGCAGGGGGACGAGGCAGCCAGTCACACAGTCACGCTGGGACAGCGAAGGAGAGCCCCACTGCCAGTGGTGCAGGGCGGGAGGGCGAGCATGCCAACCGTGCTGCTGCTTCTCCTGCTGTTTCTGAACAGTCTCAAAACTCGGGCACTAAATCCCTCTCCAGTATGGACAGACAAACTCAAGCAGTAGATGTGACTTTGGAAAGCTCCCCAGCTTGTTCTGCTACATGACTGCTGGATGCAGATGAGCCACTGGTTACTGATGATGTACTCTCTGCAGGCTTGTAGGTTATATCTGGGCTTTGGCAGTGCCAGTCGTGTGCACTTCATTTCCCTTTTCCTTTAATATTGTTTTCAAATTTTAAAGGTGCTCTTTTTTTCATGAGACTCTCATTTGGGGTTCACCATCTGTCATCATCTCTTCTGGTTTGCATTCATGTTCTAATGCCCAGCTCTTCATGGGCTTTTATACCTTCCTGAAACAGGACACTTGCAAGGGAACAGTAGGGTTTTTCCAAAGATTTTCAGCCTGTTGGTGTCACAGATACCTGTTCTGAGCAGGATGCAAGAGATAGATATCTACAGGAGAAAACACACCTTGATCTGCTTCAGAATGCATTCTGTCCCCTGACATCTGCAATAGGATGTTTGTCTTCCTTTGTGTCCATAAGGGATTAGTTTTCAACGGTTTCTAATGCCGTGAAACCCAAGTGCTTACTTTAATTGCCTTTGTAGATGATACTTCTTCCTCATGTAAAGGAAATTTGCATATCAGGGCAAATTGCAAAGTCAGTTGTAATACCTCGTATTTATCACTTTGCCTGTTTGTTTCAGCTGATGCTGAATCATTGCCAACCTGTACATGGATAGATCTGTTATCTATGGAATCACACCAGCTATGCTTTAACAAAAATTGTGGGTTACAGTTTAAAACCTTGCAGAATGCAGAAGTAGAAACACACAAGAGAGTGTGTTACATTTAAAGCTGTTCCATTGCAAACATTTTCTCCGTTGTAGTTGCCCCAAAGTGCCAATAATTAGCCAGGGTTCTTGTAATAAATAATCTCCACTGTATGTTGGAAATGAGCCTATTTTTGTATAACATTCAGTGCATTTTCTTGCTGGAAAAGCAGTTTTTTACCCCACAAAAAGTTCAGCTGGTTCACTGTTGCTGTTGAAAGGCTTTAAAGAGCTATTCCAGGTGGAGAAAGTCTCAGGAATTAGAAGAGGACGTAGGAAAATCTCCCATAGACTGATTGCAGCTGCAAACTGTGGGGACTTGCACTCAGAGTTATCCGCTCTGTAACGTGGAAGTGTGGGAATGGTTCCTGGAATACCTGACCCGAACGTGTCGCTCAGAGTTTATGAATGAGTTGCAGAGTGACGCCACCGAGTATATAAATGGGACACTGATTGTCTCCATGGCTTTAACAGTGGAAAAACCTGTCACTACATTTCATTTTTATTCTATTAATAAATCAGTGCATCTTGTACGCAGTGTGTTTGCTTTCAGTTGTGATATCTGAGACTAACACAGTGTATCCCAGGCTGTTTTTCCACAGGAGGTGATAAAAGGCAGAGTCAGATACATCCTTTGGCAACTCTCCGCTCTGTCAAAGTACAACCTTCAAAAAAGGCTGTTCCAAAATATGGAAATGTATGAAGCAAAGCCATGGCAGGATACGGCTTGGCAGGAATCTCTTCAGCTAACTGGCCCAGGACAACAGTGGAAAATCTTTACTGGTGTTCCATACACAGGAGAAAGTGTCTTCTAGAGAAACCACTCATAATTGGGGTTTATTAAAGTTAGAGAACTCCAAAATAGCGTTTGAAATATGTATGAAGCATTGCTCTGTTGTTGCTGGTTTACTGCATTCCCTGTTATTAATAATAATATTATTGCTGGACGACCTGAAGCAGAGGATTTGATTTTATTATGAGAAAATTGTGAGTGACTTCCTTTGCTCTGTCTGCATTTGCAGGACAGCTTGTAGCCACCTGATGATGGTTTTCAGAGCTGGCAACCAGCAAGTGCAGTAATAATTTAATTGTACCATTCTTGTTTCCATCCTCTGCAGCTGTCCCCAGTTGTTCCTCAAGAGGTTGAAAGTCCTGTTCCTCATTACAGTTGTGTTAAGCTCGTTGGGGACACAGCAGAGCTTCTGACAGAAGAGTTGAGTTGCAGTGTTATTCACTAGGATCACATGCACTCCATTTTGCATTTAATTTGTGGTTCTCTAGTAGGCTAAAATGTGGTTAAATTAGTCCTACTCATTGCACCTCGTTGTCACAGGTAAGATTATTGTTTGAACTCTGAAAATGGCAAAAAATTACAAGTCCAAAGATCTTTTTTGACAACTGCTTAAGAATATGAGTTGCCTAGAATGGAGTAAGTTTATATCCAGCAAAATTGCTTAAAAGCTGAAAAATTCTTCTGTACCATCCTGATAGCGCTGGTGCTGTTTCTGCCTGAGAGGGAAGATACTGTTAGAATCAGCAGGTTCTGTTCTCTGGCAAGTCCCTCGTTGAAGTTCTGGCCAGTTCTATCTGCCTTTAACTCTGAGCTTCCAAAATGGAGTGAGCTGGCTGGGAGCCCCATGGAACAGCCGTATGGGAGAACGGCAGCAGCCTAACTTTTGGTTGTTCTCACTGGACAGGGAGCTCAGGAGTTAAATTGTTTGATCTAAGTTATGAAGCCTTTCTGTGACGTGTGATACAAACCACTGCCGTGGTGTCAGTTCCACTTTGGAAGTGCTCAAATGTTTTGATGGGTGCCAGTGTGCCGGTTTAACATTCCCCCTGTGCCGGAGCCAGGGAGTCCAGTCGTAATTGTAACAGCATGTGTGCTGGTCAGAAATGCCAGGAGATGATTTTGGGGCAACAGGAGGTTTGGGTTTTTTGACTTATTTTTCCTTGAAGGAAAGAGAACCATTGGAATGGAGGCTCTCCAAGCAGAAGCCATTTCTCCCTTCGTAGTAGCTGCTGTGTCCTACAGTGTTTGGGTTTGCTGCCCCTGGAGTGCACTGAGGGCAAGTGTGCTCTCCACTCCATTGATGTGTTGTATCTCTTCAGAAGAATGGAAAAATAAGAAGTTCAGCATGGATCAGGAATGAATGGGCAGATCTTTAGTGAGGAACAGTTGCACAGCTAGGGGGAGAAGTCTGAGTGTGAAGCGCGCTGGGACTGAACACCCCAGCAGGGAAAACAGAGCAAGGTGTGATGTCTGACAGTAACACTGCAGGGCTTGTCACAGGGGACTTGCATTCTCCTGTGGCATCGTGGCCATTTCTGTGTTGGACCACCACATTACTATGATGGGAAGAACTGGAAAACACCAATGTACACCCCTGTGAGAATGTTACAAAGCACAGAATAATTGTCCATGTTGTGTTTTGGCCAGGATTTCAGGATTAGCACTCCCTCCTCTGTCAAGGAATGTTTAAATGAGCACAGATGGTCATGACTCAGCCTGGGGTTCCCATGGATGTCTGCTGCGTGGTGTAAAACACTTGGACAACCCCCAATCTGATTGTATATCCAGCCAGATGAAGCTGGGCTCTCAAGAGGTTTGAGCTTGGGGTAGCTGTGTGGGGAGGGACTCAAGTTCTCCATCAACCATTTGTCTTCCTAATACCTTTTGTGAAGCATGGAGTCTTTCCTTTGAGCCTGGATCCCGCATGAGCTGAATGAGGAAAAACCAGTAAGAAGGAAATGTAGTAACTGCCATAGTGGTTGGGGGTACTTTGTTTACTGACCAGCTGCACTAAGAACATGCTAAAGAGGGTTGCTCATGGAACAGTTAACCTTGGGCAGTTCAGGAGCCAAAGAAAGGGGCAGAGCACCACTGAATTCCCTCTCTTGCTGGGATTCCCTCTGTGTTCTGTATTTCTGCTTAGGACAGTAGGCTCTATAGGCTTTCTGTTCCTATCACCCTTTTGTCAAGGTTCAGATTTGGATTAGACCCTTGTGATATGGCTTGTCCCAGCCTGAGGACTGGAGTTACCCCACCTTTTGTGGGATCTTTGAGCATCTGTGGGTCCTGGGCCGAGTTTGGTACTTTTGTGTGACTCTTTGTAGACACAGTGTCTTGGGTCTCTGTGCTCTGCTCTTGCACGTGCCATGACTGTGTACAAGGGTTCCTGCAGTTACTGAGAGAGAGCTAAAATTTTTCTGCAGGCCTGATCCAACCCAGAAATCTATGCTCAACACTTTGGCATTATATCATGATCCCTTTTCTAATTCCATGGATATAAGCAGGTGTGGTGCAGAAGGGGCAAAGGGTTTTGCCAGTGGCAGTGCAAGCAGTGTGTAGATGTGGGCTGGTATTACAGAAACCACATGCTTGTTAAGTGCCCTATTCAGGCTTGCCTGCATGGTCCCATTAAAGTGAGTGTTGGCTCCTTTGATGGGGCACGAGACTGGTTTGCTTCATCATGTCCCCCGATTTATGTCCCAGCAGCAAACTTGGTACGTCAGTGGGGAAAGACCAAGTAACGAGAGAAGTTAGCCAAGCCTCACCCCCTCGGCATGATAGGACTTCAGATCCTTCAAATCCTTGCCTTTGGCAGCCTGTTAGTTACAGGATTTAAATCATGCCTTTTAAGATGCAGGTAGAGACACTAAAAAGCTTTGGCCTTTCTGAATTAGGGCCTGGGTTGTGTAGTTAGAGTCATTTTCTCAATTAGCTAAACATAAATCAGTATAACGAGGCACTTGGGAGCACTGGGCAGGTTTAGTACCTTGTCTCTCCTGCCTCTGTCC